TCTCTCTCAGAATTTCTGTTACATCTACTTTGTCTTCAAGCCTGAATAGTCTGTCTTCTATTTGATTCAGTCTGCTGGAGAGGCTTTCAAATGAATTTTATTTGATTTAAGGAACTTTTCATTTCCAAAGCTTCAATTTGATTTTTTTTTCAGGTTTTCTGTATCTTCATTGAATTACTCTTTCATGTCTTGAGCTAACTTTTTTTATTTAACTGTTTATTTGTATCCTCTTTGAGTGCATTTAGTTATTTGTATTCTCTTTGAGTTCATTTAGCTATTTATTTCATTGAGGTGTTTATGTGTACCTTCTTTCATCTCATTAATCATTCTTAGCATTCTTTTGAAATCATACATTGAGATTTCATCCCCTTCAACTATCAATCAGATCCTTTGTTCTGTAATTATTGAGTTTTCAAGGTGTCATATTTTTTATATTTTGTGTGCTTCTATGTTGAGATTTCTTATCTGAATTCAGTTCATTGATTGGAAGTTTTAGTCACCTAAAGTCTTTACCTTGAATTATTCTCTATGTCATGGCAGAACTGGTTTGTGGCAGGGTTGAGGTGCTGTTTCTCACCACTGGCCTAGGGATGAAATTCAGCAATAGCGAATTCACCTGTTCAATACTAGATCAGATATTTATGTAAAGTAAAATACCATTGACAACATTATCTATACAATTAATCATGTTATATATAAAGGGGATTAGTGTTCTTACATAGTACAGTAGGGAATTGGAAAAATAAAACTTGTTTTCATAAGAGTTAAAACTTAGGTAGTAAAAATAAGGCAAGAGGGGAAGGGAAGAAATAAGATGGGGAGAAGGAGAATGAAGTTTGAGAGCTGCGGGTAAACAAAATACTAGTATGCAGGAATATAGGAAAATTTAATTTTAATTTTTACTTTTTTGGCAGCAAGGGGTTTGAACTCAGGGCCCTGCACTTGCTAGGTGGGCTTGAACCACTTGAGCAACTCTGCCAGCCCTAGGAAAATTTAAAGAATGATGAAAATGTGTCTCCTTTTCCATGTACAGGCCCTATTAAACCTGGCAGAGCGACTGGGAGAAGCTAAGCCTCGAGGACTGACTAAAGCAGATATTGAACAACTTCCTTCATATCGGTTCAATCCTAACAACCACCAGTCAGAACAGACCTTGTAAGTATATTTTTCTGACATCACTTTTTACTTTTCTACCTTTATGAAATAAAGCTTGAGAAGTAAGAGATAACTACTTTATATTCTGGATCTATGCTGACCAATAAGGTAACTCTAGTCACATAAAGCTAGTTAAGTTTCTTAGTCATGCTAGCTGGCGACTACTATATGGAGAGATATCAATGTAGGCCATGAGATCTAATTCACATACCTTAAATTTAACCCATTTAAAGTATACATACATTTCATTGGTTTTCAGTACATTCAGAACAACCATCACTACAAATTTAGACCCTTTTTATCATCCCAAAAAGAAACCCCTTAACCCACTAGCAGCCACTTCCCAACCCTCTCCACCTTGATGCCTCCCCCAACATCTTACCTACTTTGCATTTCAATAGATTTTACATAAATTGGGATCAGATAATACATGGTCTTTTCATGTCTGCCTTCTTTTACTTAACATAACTCTTTCAAGGTCCATTTATGTTGCATCTCCTATCAGTAAGTCATTCCTTTTTATGGCCACATAATAGTGCATTGAATATGCCACATAATGCTGGTTTGTTTGGCTATTATGAATAATGCCACTTTGAACATTTGTGTGTAAGTTGTTCTGTGGTTATGTTTTCATTTCTCTTGGGTATATACCTGGAAATAAATTGCTAGGTTGTATTATAACTGTATGTTCAAACTTTTGAGAGCTGCCAGTGAGTTTGTCCAAAGTGACTACACATTTTATATTCCTGCCACCAATGTACAAAGGTTTCAGTTTCTCTGTTTCCTCCAGCATTAGTATTATTTATCTCTTGTTATTATAGCCATTTTAGTGGTATCTCATGGAGTTTTTTTATTTTCATTTCCTTTATGGCTGCTAGTGTTAAGAATCTTTTCAGGTATCTTTTGGCCAATTGTATATCTTCTTTGGAGAAAATATCTACTTGAGCCCTTTGCCCATTTTTAAATTGGATTGTCTTTTTGTTACCATACTGTAGAGGTTCTTTGTATATTACAAATCCCTTATCACCCTTATCAGAGCTATGATTTTCCAAAATGTCTCCCATTCTATGGCAGTTTCTTGTTTTTTTCTTCCTTTCTTCCTTCCTTTTTTTTTTAATAGTACTGGGGATCTAACACAGGGTCTTCCACATATGCCAAGCATGCATTCTACCACTGAGCTATATCCCTATATCCCTATCCCCTTTTCAGTTTCTTGATGGTATCCTTTGGAGTACAAAACTTCTATTTATGTATTTTTGCTGCTGGGGTTTGAACCTCAGAGCCGCACGTTTGCTAGGCAGGTGTTGTACTGCTTGAACATATCCTCAGCCCTTTTTTTGCTTTAGTTACTTTGTGAATAGGGTCTTAAATTTTTGCCCAGACTGACCTGACCGTGATTCTCCTGTATCCAGCATGACAGCCATGTACCACCATATCGAAATTATTATTTGAAATGGGGTCTCACTAACTTTTTGGGCTGGCCTCAAACTGTGATCCTCCCAATCTCTACCTCCTGAGTAGCTGGAATTACAGGTGTGAGCCACCCTACCTGGCAAAAAAATTTTAATATTAATTTCATTTTATCTCCTTTTTGTTATTTCTTTTTGTTGTTTTAAGTTCATCTCTAAAAAAGTCTAAAAAAACCATTGCATAATCCATGGTCACAAAGATTTATTTTCTTTTAAGAGTTCAGTAGTTTAGTTTTTTTTTTTTTTTTTCCTTGTCTTTAAATGGTGTGAGTTTGGGAGTCCACCTCGTTCTTTTTCATGTGGATATACAACTGCTCCAGCATTTTTTTGAATAGTAAATATCTTTAGTTTTAACACCAATTTGGGCGTTAATCAGGTATTTTGTGTAATGTCAATAAAGCCAAGCATTCTTATTAAATGACTTAACATTATTTTTCAGGATATTGATAATTTTTCTAAACATTTAGGTGGTATTTTGAGAACTGAGAATAAATGGTTTTATAGGCTTCAGTAGTCCTAACAAAATAGCAAACTACCCAGCTTTATGGTTAAATGACCTTTTTGCTTTTTTCAGGTGTGTAGTATGCATGTGTGATTTTGAGTCAAGGCAGCTACTTAGAGTGTTACCCTGTAACCACGAGTTCCATGCCAAGTGTGTTGACAAGTGGCTTAAGGTAAAGTGATGGCCTCTATAAAAGAAATAACAGTGAATTTTCTGTTTTATTGACTATAGGTTTATTAGAATAAGTCCATGGTTTATGGAGGGTGAGCACAGGAGATAAAATCAAAAGACAGCTTTCAATGGGATCTCTTCAGATAAAAAGAAAAGGCTAGTAAAAAGTGACTGAAGGGACTGAGGCATAGTTCAGTGGTGTAGCATGTGCTTAGCACACATGAAGTCTGCATGCAACAGTAAAATCACTAGTCATCAACAAAGAAGTGACTTCGATAATCAGTATGTGTTAATTTTCTCATGATACACAGGGACACACCTGAACTCCCCTAAGAATTTAGAATGGTACTGGGGATCTTTTGCCAGACATTTTCGTGGAGAACAAATTGTGTTTTTATTTAATGCTAACCAGTTCTCCTCTTACGTATAAAAAAAGTCCAGAGATCACATTAATAACAGTGGCGATGCAAGGATGATATTATTGCAGCAGCTTCTTGTTCTACTGGGGATTAAACCCAGGGCCTCATGCTTGTTAGGCAAGTGCTCTAACACTTGAGCTATACTGCTAGCCTCTTTGTTGTTGCTTCTGAGGTAGCGGTCTTGCCATCTTTGCCTGGACTGGCCTTAAAATCAATCCTCCTACCTCTCTCTCCTGAGTAGCTAGAATTATAAGCATGTACCACCATGCCTGGCTCTAGACCACATAATTTCATGTAAGAATAAAATAGGAATAAAAGTGTGATGCAGTAACATAATTTAAGTAATCTATTTTTTAGTAGAATGTTCTGATTTACAGATAACTTTATAGCTCAAAGACAACTTAAAGATGGAACTTAAGCATATATAAAGAGAATTCTTTAGATAACTTTACAGATTAGTAAGTCAGATAAGAGTTAAAATTGAGAAAGTTGGTTTCTCTGAGCATAGTTGAGAATTACCCAGCATAGTCCAAACTAAATCCTGAGACAATAAAACTTAACTTTTTACAAAAAGAAAGCGTTATATGTGCAAAGCCCTAACATGTGTGATTAGAGAATGATAAGAAAACCACAAGTTTCATTTGGCTAATAGCTCAAGTAAGGGAGAATGATAATTCAAGGATTATTCAGAGCCTATTGTGAAGGAGTTTGCACTTGATCCTGAGAGCAAGAAGAAGGAATATGGCTGAGATTGTATTTTAGAGAAGTCTCTGGTCATTGTTTAGAAAGTAGAACAGGAGAGGTAATTTCTGAGACAGGGATATGGAATAAGGATGGGGTTAGCCACTCGGAATGTGTAGCAGCAACTGGATGTTGGATGAGGACTTCTTTTTCTGAGAACCTTCATAATGTAGAAATGAGACTGGTGAATAATGGATTATAGTAAACAAGAGTGGGTCATGCTTATGTTTCTGGTTTTAGCAACTTGACAAATGTTGGTGACATTGTTGAAACGGAGAAAGAGCACATTTAGTAGATCAGGAAAGATTGTAAGTAATGTCATTAGTGTAGATACAGTTGCCTGTGTTACAATCAAGCTTTCCTAAGTATTACTAAATGTGGCTTGACCTCATTCCATTAAGAGGCTGGTGTGGTAGTTCATTTCTATAATACCAGCATTTGGGAAGGTTAGTCAGGAGTATTGTAAATTCAAGGCCAGACTTTGATACATAAGACTCTCAAAAACAAACAAACAAAAGAATGGCCAATGTTATACTTATACTTATAGTAAGTATAAGACCCTAGGTTCAATCCTCAGCTATGCTGGGGGAAAAAAAGAATAGCCTAACCACTGGTATTAGGTAATCTTATTCACACATTTATATATATATATATATGTTTAAACAGACTTTATTAAAATCACTCATGGGGGGCCAGATGTGGTGGTACACACCTGTAATTTCAGCTACTGAAGAGATAGAGATGGGAGGATCATGCATTTCAAGGCCAGCTTGCCCCTATCACAAAAAGCAAGCTGGGCATGATGAAACACATCTTTAATCCCAGCTATACAGGAGACAGAGGTAAGAGGATCAAGGTCTAAGGCCTGCTAGGGCAAAAATAAAGTAAAAGGGGTTGGGGTATGGCTTGCCCAGCAAGCACTAGGGCCCTGAGTTCAAACCCACTACCCCCAAAAATATATATATGCTTATAGATCACTCATGGCCTTACATTAAATCATTAAGATTTGTAGGGGGGTTTTTTTGTTTGTTTTTTAAGCAAATGATTGCTTTGTAACTTTGTTAAAGGAACAATGAATGTTAAAAGTAGTTCCTGTTCTTAGTATAGTTTTCATTGTGTAAAGTCACAATTCAGATAAATTTCCTTCTGTTTTTTAGGCAAATCGTACCTGCCCAATTTGCCGAGCTGATGCTTCAGAAGTACATCGGGATTCAGAATGACCAACCTAAGAGCACAAATTTAGTTTGGGTGTTCCTCATCACGTGTATATACGGACTATCCATTGAACTTAATCTGTGTGGCTTCCAGCCCTCCCTTTACCAAAAGGGTCAATGGACCTTTCTTTGCACTGTGTGACTTAATCAACTATAAAAGCTTACAATTAGTCTTCACAATTATGGGATTGTTATACTAACCGTGTGATTGGAACTCCAAAGACTTTTTCTTTAGCTTAATTTTGTGTGTGCACTAACATTCCCTGGTTTTTGTGTGATCATTCCGAGTGTTGCTGCAAGATTACCGTGGACGTGATCTTTTAGCATGTGCTTTTATAAAAAGTGGTAGCTCCAGATGATATAGCAATCTACCTTCTATAGAGCCTTCAGAAACTGTGAGTGGAAGTGAATGCAGTATGTGATTGGTGACAATGGTAAGTGTGTCTGCGTGAGAGTGTGCAACTACTTGTGTGAGGGCATGGTAGCTGACGTGTGTATGAGATCCTATATACCAGCATGTACCGAGAATGTGTGTGTAGTTTTAATTATGCTGCAATGTATAATCTGGTGTGTTATTTAAACAGCACTAGTACTGTACACTGGTTCCCCTTGTGTTTGCTGTTGCACACTGATTGCTAAGGGTGCGTCAATTATAAGCATCGGATACTCCAGCCCTTCCCTCCCGATGAATGGAATGAGAAAAGCCTTCTCCTTTGCTTCAGGCAGCTGTCACCTTCTCTTCACTGGTGGTCCTAAGTGGGCCACTTAAGAAAAAGAGTGTAACAGATTCTCACTCCATGACCTAATTATTTTTATTCTGTTGTGAAAAAGAAAATTTTTAATCTCCAACTTGCTATTTCCAAAAAGAAGGTGCAATATCATACATCATCAGTTAGCAATATTAGCATTTCAATCAATGATTTGAATGTTGATACTTTCTTGTTTTTTCCTTTACATTTCCAGTAAGCTTCTTACAGAAAGTACCTGTGATATTTTTTTTTTAATGTTTAGATTTGTAGTCTATTCTGAAGATATTTGAGTAATATATTTCTAAGAATACCACTGGTCCCATGAAGTCTCACCTCCTTGACTTCCACCAGAACAAAATCTGTTCGCTAACTCAGCTTGATTTCTGATATATGTTCTTTGTTCAACCTCCCATAGGCAACTAAACTGTTTTAAGAAAACACTATTTCTGTTCATACTCACTCACTTGCCACACTGCAGTTCTGCAACTTGTTCTTCCCTCAGTAAATGTGCTTCTCATCTCCACCCTTGTTTCAGGATGGAGCAAGTGCTGTGACAGCTAGCTTTGATGTCTTACTGCTTTTCCTTTTAGTTTTTGTTTGAGAAAAGTTTAACGCAATGGGTGTCCAGAATACTTGCAGTATAAATGAAGATTTCATTTTTGTATAAAAAAATAATGCTGTCAAACAGGAATTGGTCTTCATTTAGTTGATCTGTGAGGTTTTTTTATGTAGGTTCATTGAGCATATTTCAGATTATTTAAAGTCGCTTTTCCAGCAATATGTAGATTTCTTTCTTGTTCTTTCAGTACATTCAGCATTGCCCGCCTCTTCCTGCATTGCTTTGTTTGCAGGAGCACATGCTGTGTTCTTCCAGTGGGGACTGTGATGACTTACTGTCAGCCTCACTCCAGTCTCAGTTGGCCCTGGGCTAGTTTTGTACCCAGACAGTGTTAACTAATTTACTGCCATGCTGCTTGCCCTCCCTTGAAGTCTCTACAAGCTCATCACAGCCTAGAGTTCAGTAAAGTCAATTCACATAGAAGCACAATTTTGTCCTCTTCCAGACACTGTTGCCTCTATTTAGTCAAATAGGATTTTGTCTACTTTCTATTGGCCCCTAGATTTGCCAGTGCATCAGAAATACACTTATTAAATAGTGGTAAAATGCACATGTTGTTTTTAAATCATTAAAAGGTGTGTTAAAGACCAAAATTATTGGCATACAATAATCAGCTACAATAAAAATCACATACAGTTTAATCTTTATTTTTTAATTGAAAATCATGTTTAAAATGGCAAAAGCCCATCTTATAAATAGACTCTTTTATATAGCTGCAAAAAATTTGTATCTGTACAGATCTAACATAACACAACTACACTCAGTATTCATTTTATTGAAGCATGCAAATAAAGCACTTTTTCTAATTTATATAGAGATACCTAATTAACAAGGCACATCGTACTAATAACTAGGAAAAGTAGCTTTTCTTTTCTTCCTCTGACTATGAATTTTGTCATAATGTCCCTTCCCAGTAAATTTTTGAGAAGTGGTTGGCATTGTAGGAGGCAGCAGGGTCTGTTTTGGTAAATCCTGAGTTCGCTGTTGTGCTGTTGTGACTGATCTCTCTTTGGGAATATCTTGTCTTTGCACAGGGCTCTTAGAGATTTACCCAGACTTGCTTACTAAGTGTTTAATGTGTACAGGAGCACACAGGCACAGACTGGCCACAAGTAAGCAACTTCAGGGCTAGGAAATGAGAAAGAACAGCTGATCCGTGCCCAGCTGTTGTCACCTTGGGTGATACACAAGATAGCAGGCAGATGATGTTTTGTTGCCTTTGTCCTCTTTCCTACTAAAACAAGATTGACTTTCCCATCAACTCAGCTGTGGGGTTTTTTGTAGGGTTTTGGGGTGTTTTTTTGCTTTTTGGCATGAATTGTCACATTGGTATTTTTTAACTGCCCCCCCAAGGGAAAAAAAAAAAAACCTCAAGGCCTCCAAGTATCAAGATCTCACATTAAGATTTTCTGTCCTGAATTTTTTTTGAGCAGAATCTGGAAAATGTGAAAGCATAACTAGATTTTATATACTCTCTGAAATGTGATTTGTTAAGATTCTTAAACTTGGGCCTCTTGTAATAATTTTGAATGAGCTCTACCAACTCACTTAGAATATTTTTCACAGATATCTCTAGGCCTTCATTAGAAAGCTGTTTTCCCCTGTTGGTTCATTTGGTTACCTCATTTTGCTATTTGTTTCAGATTATGAAAGCTTGCAGGGGCGTTTGTTGGAATCATTTGCTGAGTCATTTCCTCAAATCATATTCCATTGTATCAGTTAACATATAGTTTTAAATGTGCATATTATAAATATCTGTAACCAAATCATTTGAAGGCTTGATAAATTTTTAACAAAGTTTGTACATTTTTTATGAAAGTTACTAGTAATGCTTTACTAAGTAGTGCAATGAATTTTTATTTTTAATCCCTGTGCCCAATTTTGGAGTTGAGAGGGTTGTTGGTAATAAATGTATGATGTACACTTAAAACGTGCTGTGTTTGATGTTACTGTGTTAGGGGAGAGGGGTGGGGAGTGGCTAGGACTCCAGCAGGAAGGTGGAACTGGGTTGAGCTAGCGGCCAAATTTAATTTTTAAACTGTGTATCACATTTTATGTTTCAGCATTAGTGTAAACAATTTAGAATCACAGAAATAACTGACATTACAACAAGGTTCATATTTAAATCTTTTAAAAGGCCAAGGAAGAAGAGTGTAGCTCCACATGTAATTTATGCATATCAAGTGACAGCATCATATGACGCAGGGCACGAGGTTCCATCAGGAGCCAGGCAGGTCTGTCCACATAAGGTAGTTTACATCCAGTTCACTGTCGGCGTCATAAGGGAAGAGGAAGCTCTGCTTACCGTTTTCTAGACATGCCGTATAATAGCTCTTTGACTAAAAAGGACAAAAAAAAAAGCTGCCTGCATATTCATATATATGTGGGTTGTGTTACTTGAAAAGAGTGACTGGGTCCAGGAAGCATTCAGAAAAATGACCAAGGCCTGATTTTTTTCTTTCCCTTCTTTTTCCAGCACACTTAAAAGAGTATTTGGTCATACTTTAAGAGGGTTGGAGAAAACCCTAAACTTGTGCTGTCCTACAGCAGAGGCATTTACTGCTCACTTAGTACCCGTGTGCTCTCCCAACAAGGCAAGGAGGGCCAAATGCTTAAGCAAAGGCTATGTGGCCTTTCCATGTGAGAGCAGTCAGAAAGCAGAGGTCCTTCGCTCCACCATGATAATGGCAGCCCAAGAATCTCGACTCACTACCTGGGAGAGAGCTGTCCTTGCAAGCCACTGGACCCTCCGCAGATACTTCTGTAAGCAACAAATAGGTATCCTCAAATAACATGAAATGTGGACACTGTGTCAGGACAGGAGCAAGGACTTCATCCTTGCTAATTCGTTTCTCCCTTTTATAAGCCTTTTTTTAAGAGTTCTAGGCTTTGATAACAACCAATCCACAGCATCCCAAATGTGCCAATAAACACTGGCAGCATTTAATAGGTCACTACAGGATAAAATTCTTATGAATGTGGTCAGATCATAGCCAACTGTTTCGGGTCTCGTACACTTCAGACTAATGAAGTGGGTGGACAATACTGTCCAATAGAATTGTAGTCACATAAATTTTTTTAAAATTTGGCCACATTAAAGAGTTGGATGTAGCTCAGTGGAAGAGTGCTTGTCCAGCATGTGCAAGGCCCTGGGTTTGATCTCAATTAAGAACTGACATTTTTAGTGTATGCAGTGGACATAACAAATTACTGAGATACTTTGTATTTTTTCATACCAGGTCTCGTCACTGTGTGTTTGTTACACTTTAAACACATCTCAATTTTGACTAGCCATGCTGGACATGGTGGCACACATTTGTAATCCCAGCACTTGAGAAGCAGAGGCAGGAGAATCATGAGTTCCAGGCCCATGTCAGTTACACATTGAGACCCTGTCTCAAACCCCTTCCCCACCCCAAAAAAAAAAAAATTGGACTAACCACATTTTAAATGCTTAACAGCCACATGTGAATGGTGGCCACCATGCTGGATGGCACAGTTCACCAGAACTGGCTCCTAAAGAATGGAGCTTACCCTCACTAATCCAAGACATTAACTTTATCATTGCATGCTTTACACTACAGTCTGGCCGGGCGCTGGTGGCTGACACCTGTAATCCTAGCTACTCAGGAGGCAGAGATCAGGAGGAGCATGGTTAGAAGCCAGCCTGGGTAAATAGTTCATGAGACCCTATCTCGAAAACCCTTCAGGAAAAAGGGCTGGTGGAGTGGCTCAAGGTGAAGGCCCTGAGTTCAAAGCCCAGTATCATAAATAAATAAACTACAGTCTGATTAAAAAACACTTTGCTCCGTATAGCTGAGTGTAACTTGTTGCTATGATCCATATCACCAAAAGAACAGACAACTTCTGTGCACTTCATTTGCTGCCCTAAGTAAGACTGAAGAACGGAGTTTCTTCCTTGTCGGTGAATTCTCCAGCCATGCATTATCACATTAGGATTCCCACCTATTAAAGAGCAATCACAAGATTGGGCGTTCTGGAGAATTGAGGGCAGGTAACTTTGAGATGGTGTGGAGTGGGTCACTTAGAGTGCTCCGCAGGGTACATTTGTATGCAGTTCTGCCTCCCATGCTGGCAGGAAGCACAGGAATAAGAAAGCCTGAAGAAAAAAGTTAACCACAGTGACAGCCAGGAATGCAAAATGTGTCCTTACAATCTGGAGATGGAGCACAGGATCAGTATGGCGAGTCCCCTTCACACAGGAAGTGAGCTGTTTGGGAAGAAGATACCCACATTTCTTTCAAGCCCCTGCTTCGTGGTCTACCTGTGGAAACGGAAAAACAAGGTGTGGTCGTGGGGTAACAACCTATGTAGCCCCACACCTAGCAGTCTGCCAGTAATCACCAGTGTGCACAGAAAACATGTCAAGTTTTTTTTGTTTTTGCAGTACTGATGTTTGAATTTGGCCTCATGGGTCCTAGCCGGGTGCTCTATGGTTCAAGTCATGCCCTCAGCTCTTTAAACTGGAGTCACCGTACTAGTTTTTTGTTTGTTTGTTGCAAGTTGGAAGGCAACCTGAGCAACATAGCAAGCCCTGTTTCAACAAACAAAAATGGTAGGCTCCACTCTGATCTACTTAATAGACACATAGCTATATGATGCACAAGGGAGACCTGGCACTAGTGACTCACAACCGTAATCCTAGATACTCAGGAGGCGGAGATCAGGAGGACTGAGGTTTGAAGCCAGCTTGGGCAAGTAGTTCACAAGACCCTATCTCAAAAATACCCAACACAAAAAAGGGCTAGTGAAATAGCTCAAGGTGTAAGCCTGAGTTCAAACCCCAGCCTGAGGAAAAAGAATGCACAGGGCAAATGAATTTTTATCAACTTAAATAAACCACAAAAGGTACATTGCTATCCCAAGTGTTGCATTACATAAAGCCTAAACAAGTCCCTCAAATCAAACATTTCCCCCGTTCCAAAACAGCTGTTCTGAATTTGCTTTTTTAAGTTAAAAATATATGCCAGGCATGATGGTTCATGCCTGTAATCCCAGCACATGAGAGGTGAAGGCAAAAGAATTCCAAGTTCAAGACCAGCCTGGGCTACCTAGTGAGACCCTGTCTCAACAACAAAAAGCAACAGTATTTCTATAATACTGCCCTGTGCTAAGGAAAGATAAGTATTCATGAAACGTACACCAGGAGGTGCTGTTGTACAAAAACAAGTGCCAACTGTAGGCCTTTTAATGCACAGGTAAGGGTTGATGTGGATATAAAAGTCTAAAATGGGGCAGGCATGGTGGTGCATCTCTGTAATCCCAGCACTCAGGAAGCTGAGGTAGGAGGGTTGGGAGTTCAAGGCCAGCCTGGGCAACATAGTGAGACCCTCTCAAAAACTCAACCAAAAAGGAAAAAGAAAGGAGAAAGTCTACAATGTGCTTTAATGTTGCTTTCAGTCACAGGGTACATTAGAGAACTTCACCAGTATAGGGCAGGACCACTGCCGCTCAGAGATTCCATCCTCCCGAGCATGGCTGTGTGTGTTTCCTAAGGTGCAGCTACTTTTAAAAGTCATATTCTCAAATACAGCTTGGTTTAGCTTTAAAGTCAGGCTCCCCTGTCCTGAAGCAGACTGACCCCTGCACATGAGCTCAGCTCCCAGCAGCTCCCAGCTCCTCCCAGGTGCACAAGGGTGAATGAGCCTGGGCCTGTTCTATCCTCCAGGACCTGCCCTACCACCCAGAGGCTTCCGAAATGTCACGTGTAACAAGCATCTCCAGCTGCTGCGTGGCCGTGCTACAACATTGTTCATTTCTTAATGCTAGTCTCATAAAGCTGCTTTCATGGTTCTCTTGTCACACCATCCTCCCTGTGTCTCTCGGAGCTCCTGCTCTCTCCTGTCTACAGGTCTTTTCCTTGGCCCAGAGCTTTAGATCAGGGCTGCCTAGGACAGATTCCCCACCCCATTTTTCCATTCCGCACTCCTTCCCTGGACTGACTGACTGTCTCCACTTCCACCTTTCCCCAGAGCTCTGCCTTGGCTTCCTGCTGAATCTCCTCCTGTCCATCCTGTATCACTCACATTCTCTCTAGCCAAATATGAACAAGTCACACGTTCCCCAGTCCTGCTTCTCCTGTGTCCTCTAGTTCCACTGCTGGCTTCCCATGTGATCCACACCCAGCCAGAAACAGGGACATCATCCTTGGCTGCCCCATCTCCTTCCTCTTCGTCCACCCTGAGCGAAGTGTCCTTTTGTTTTCCCTTCCTCCACAGCCCAAGTTCAGGTCCAACATCTGTGCTGCCATGAGCTCATGCCCAGCTGACTTCAAGCAAGTCCTCTACCAAGCCTCCAAAAGGAGTCGTTCAAGTACAAATCTGACCACCTACTCCCATCCATGGCCCCGAACCCTTAAATGGCTCTCCGCTATCCACACAACAAAGTCCCATCGCATTTGATGCTCCTCTAGAGCCTCCTTCACACGCTCCTAATTATGGCTCCTGCCTCAGCTCCAGATGCCTCTTGCCCCACGTGCTGCACCTAGCACCTCCAGCTGCTCACAGCTCCGCAATGTGCTGCCTGACACCCTACCCCCTTCCTCTCTTCTCTCTGGACCCAATCCTAGATCACCTCTTCCAGGAATCCTTTCCTGAACCTGCAGCCAGCCAGTGAGCCACCTCCTGCTGAAAGGACCTTGCTAAGCTTGTCCTCTTCCTTCCCCAGGCTGCTTGTGTGTTTTCCACTAGCCTGGGAGCCTCCTGTCTTTACCTCTAGGGCCTAGCACAGTGCCTGGCCCAAGGGAAGAGTTGAATAGATGTTTTCTGAATGAAAGTGGGAGAATAACTCCTGGGCCTGAGTGGTTAGATGGCTGTTGGGGACCGTCGCCCAAGGAGTGAATATTGGAGAAAGAGCAGGTTTTGAAGAGAAGAGTGTGTGACTGAGGAGGACATCTGGG